GAGCCTACTTTCTATCTTTATAGATTTGCAGTTTTAACTCTTTGTCCTGACTTTGTTGCTGAGTAGTTGCTAAGCCATTGCAAAGAGATTCTTTTTGAAATAAAATTGGACAGAAATGAAAATGTATATGTACAATCCAGAAAGGGGAACTGCTACCATGACCAATGGCTTCTGTGTTGACAATCCAGGAGACACCTGCAGTTCTTGTGGCAATATCTGACATAGATGACCAGTCTCCCCTCCTTGAAACCCTCCTGTTGGTGTCTGTGATACCATTTATTCCTGGTTCCTCCTCTCTCTGGCCATCCCTTCCCCTCCTCAACATGATCTCTAAGCATGGGGCTCTGTGGCCTTTGGTCTGGGCCCTTCTTCCCTGCTCCCTTTATACTCGCATGTGTGTCTCCTTTACATTTGTGACTTCGTTTTTATTTTTTTGGGGGGCTGACAATTTCACTCGGTTGCTCTGTGTAGAGTGCTATGGTATTACAGCTCACAGCAACCTCAAAGTCAGGCTCAAGTGATCATCTTGCCTCAGCCTCCCAAAGAGCTGGGACTATAGGTGCCTGCCCATCATGCTTGGCTAGTTTTTCTATTTTTAGTAGAAAAAGGGGGCCTCTTGCTCAGGCTGGTCTGGAACGCCTAACCTCAAGTAATTCATCTTCCCCAGTCTCCCGAAGTTCTAGCATTATAGGCATGAGTCACTGTTTCTAGCCACGACTTCATTTTCTCTTTAGAAAAAAAAAAAAAAAGGCTCGGCGCCTGTGGCTCAAGTGGCTAAGGCGCCAGTCACATACACCTAAGGTGGCGGGTTTGAATCCAGCCCGGGCCTGCCAAACAACAATGATGGCTGCAACTGAAAAAAAATAGCCGGGCATTGTGGTGGGCGCCTGTGGTCCCAGCTACTTGGGAGGCAGAGGCAGGAGACTTGCTTGAGCCCAGGAGTTGGAGGTTGCTGTGAGCTATGCCACGGCACTCTACCCAGGGGGACAGCTTGAGGCTCTGTCTATTCTAGAGGTGGAGACAGACAATAAAATTATAAACAAACAAACAAAAAAAAAACCACTTCAGAGGCTGAGGCAAGAGAATCGCCTAAGCCCAAAAGCTGGAGATTGCTGTGAGCTGTGACAAAGGGCAACAAAGTAAGATTCTGTCTCTTAAAAAAAAATACTTTGGCCTGGCACCCATAGCACAGTGTTTATGGCACCAGCCACATACACTGAGGCTGGCAAGTTTGAACTGGCATGGGCCAGCTAACCAACAATGACAACTGCAACAACAAATAGCCGGGCATTGTGGCGGGCACCTCTAGTTCCAGCTACTTGGGAGGCTCAGGCAAGAGAATCGCTTAAGCCCAAGAGTTTAAGGTTGTTGTGAGCTGTGATATCACTCTACTAAGGGCGATGTAGTGAGACTCTGTCTCAAAAACAACATTTATTTCTTCATTTATTTCTATTTTTAGTGACAGAGTCTTGCTCTATCATCCAGGCTATAAGTGTAGTAGTGCAATCACTGCTCACCACAGCCTCAAACTCCTGGGCTCCAATGATCCTCCTGCCTCAGCCTCCAGCCTTAGTCTCTGGGATTACAGGCATAAGCCACTATGCCCAGCTGAGACTTTGTTAGGGCAGTTTTTAGGTTCACAGCAAATTTGAAAGGAAAGCACATTAAGTGCTCATGTAACATCACGGCTACATTCTTCGAACTGTGTCTTTAAGTGAATTACATATAATGAAGCTAATTTTTCTTCTTATTAAATTACAATGGAACTTCAAATGAAACAATGTTGTATCAGGACAACTTTTCCCTCAAGGTCATAGTTTCCAACATCAAGTGAGTGCTCACCATCTAGAGGTTTCCGATATCCTGGCTTACAGCACTGCCTCCCCGACTATCAACACCCTGCACCAGAGTGGTACGTTTGTTAAAACCATTAATTCTACGCTGACAACACTCTTGGTGTTGTACATGCTAAGTGACTGAAAAAATGAATAACAACACGTATCTATGGCTATCATTGTTATAGAGTGTTTTTACTGATCATGACTTAATTTTTATGTCCAATCCAAAAGCCTCTTCTGAACAGCAGACTTATACATTCAACCACCTGTGGGTCATTTCCACTCATACCTCAACATGTCCAACAGAACCCATTATCCTCTCCCCTCACTGAGGGCACCAGCTCTCCTCCCTGGAGGACAGTCTGGGTGTCTGCCTGTCCCTAGTGGCTGGTGTAAGCCACCGCCTACTCTATCAGGAAAATGCCAGTGAGTATAGGGCATGTCCCTGGTACAGGGATAGGGCAAGAAATGAACATGTGACTTAATGGGGGCCAATGAGAAACAAGGGGAGGACTGCCTGGGAATTCTGAGAAAGAAACAAATTGGCTCTCTCTCTTTTTTCTTTTCTTTTTTTGTTTGAGACAAGAGTCCCACTTTGTCACCCTTGGTACAGTGCATGGTGTCATAGCTCATAGCAGCCTCAAACTTCTGGGCTCAAGTGATGTTCTTGTCTCAGCCTCCCAAGTCGCCAGGAATACAGGTGCCCGCCGCAACATCTGGCTATTTTTTAGAGACAGGGTCTCTCTCTTGCTCAGGCTGGTCTCGAACTCCTAAGTTCAGGCAATCAACTTACCTTGGCCTCCCAGAGTGCTAGGATTACATGTGTGACATACTGTCCCCCAGCCCTGCCTGGCTCCCTTAAAAGGCAGTAGAGAAGCCCATCCTCTCCTTTTTGGGGCATGTAGACGGGATGCCTAGGCCTGTTGTGGATGATAGCCTGAGGTGATTCTGATACCAAGGTAAAAGGTGATTCTGACCCCAAGACATGCCTGAGCTGCTGGATCCAGCAGATCCTGAAGGTCACTCTACTGTTAAACTTCCCATAGTAAGTTGTAGTGAACTGTACTGTCTAAGAGACAGCCACACCAATATTCCCTGTTCCACAAGCTCCTTTACAGTGTAACACTGGCACTCCCTCATAGATAACTAGAGTCTGTGTTCCTTCCCTTTGAACTTGGGTGAGACTTTGTAACTGCCTCCATCAACAAAGCATGGCACAGGTGACACTGCGAACTATGCAACCTCTGAGGATGGGTCGAGAAAGGCAACACAGCTTCTTCCTGGCACTCTCTCAGGACACACGCGACAGGAGCCAGAAATGCAGCTCCCCTGCAATCTCCAAGCTGGAGAGCTCAGGAAGGGGATTAGCATCCTTATAAGAGGCCCCAATGAGATTCCCTCATCCTTTCTACCACATGACAAAGCAAGAGATGGGGGTCTCACCAGACAGTGAATCCACTGGTGCCTTGATCTTGGACTTCTCGGCCTCCAGAATAATGAGAGATTCCTGTTGTTTATAAGCCCCCAATCTAAGGTGTTTTCTTATAGTAGCTCAAGCTGACCAAGACAGCAGTGATCTCTTCTGGAGTTACATCACAGTAACTGAATCGTGAGCCAATTAACTTGTTATTGTTGAAGCCAGGTGGAGCTTGATTTTGCTACTTGAGACCAAAGTGCCTCAACTGATCCTAGCTCATTTTCCTTAAGCCAGAAACCAGGCCCTCCGCTGACACTCCCCTTCTCCTCCCCTGCCCCTGCCAATTCCATACCCTTTGATTTTTTCCTCAAGCTTCCTCTGAAGCATATCTCCACTCAACCTCTTTTCCTCCACATCTCAGCCACGAGCCCTGCCTACACCATCATCACTTTCATCACTGAGCTGGTCTCCCAACATCCATCCCCACCCTCCTGCACCCATTCACTGTCCTCACAGCCGCCAGGAGGATGTTTGACAAGTGCAAAGTGTCTCTGAGAACTTTAGTTCTCCTGACAAAATACAAGGCCAATACTGTGGCTCCCTCAAGGCCCTGGACAATGTGGCCCCCCTTCCAGCCAACTCCACTGGGCTCCTTCTCTCCCCATTGGCTCACATGTTTCAGCTTCCTGTGACTTCTCAGGACAAGCCGCAGGGCCTTTGTGCATGCCATTCTCTCAGCCTACCTAACACCTGTCCTTCAATCTCTGCCTGATTAACTCCTTACCATCTTTTAGTTCTTTCTTCAGAGAGGACTCCTCTGACCCCCAATCTGGGTAGTAACCTGTTTTTTTTCTCTCAAGCAGCCTGTTCTCTTCTGCAGAGGTCAGGAAATGTTTCCTCACTATTAGATTATGTGTATAGTTTGTTGAATATGGGACTCACCTCACTAGTCTATAAGGCCGATGAAAGCAGAGGCTATCTCCTCTATCTGCTGTTGTACCCCCAGTGCCTGGGAGAGGGGCTGGGACATAGTAAGTGCTCAAGAAATAAGTGTAAATGGGTAAAGGGCTTTCCTCAAAATGACCTCAGCTACAAAAGGAAAGCTTCCTCTTCCTGTGCTCACACCAGTTGGGCTTCCCTAGACCCTGGGGCCCTGGAGCTTACCATATTTCTTATTAAACAGGTCTTGGACTTGCTCCCTTAGCGTGTTGGCGATGTCGATACGTGAGAGTCTAGCGTCGTAATTTTCTGCAAAGTGAAAAACAATTATGAATTTGGACTGCTAAATTAAAAGGCACTTGGTGACTTTTAAAGAATATGATTTCTAATTATGGGGAACTCCTTGTCTGGCAATTAACAGATCCTTGGAGTGGGCCCCTCAGAGTCCTTCAGAACTAACATCTTGATGGAGATGTGTGTTTTTCCGGAAGGACGCACACTGTTGCGACAACAGCAATGAGTTGGAAATTAAGTTAATTGTTGACATTTGAAAATCACCAAGCCAATAAATAAGCCTTGGAGGTGAGAGACACCAGGAAGAGCAGATTTCTAGGCCTGAGCGTCATTAAGCTGGTGGGGCAGTAGGAAGTGGGGGTAGGGGGAACTGCTGCTCAGCTGACCCAGCAGCTCCCAATGGTCACACACTCACCCAGAGGATGTTTATTAAGGACCCTGTGAACCAGCACGTGCCTGGCACTGCCTCAGGGAGGAGACAACTGGGGCTGGGTGGGAGGGGGGAGGATCTCATCTCTGGGCACTTGGGCCGGGCTCATAGTAAGGTTCCCAGTCTGCTAAGGGAACCTCATCCTAGAAGGTTCCAGCTGCCTGGGAAGCAGTAAGAGAGACTAGAAACCACAAGTAGCTACTCCCCAGGAACTTGGGTCCTCTCTTCCTGGGCTCCTCTGTCACTGGTTGTTGACCCCATGGGGACTGCACAGGGCCCTCCTAGAAGCATCCCCCACAGGGATTCATATGCGGCCAAACCCCAGCTCCTTGTAGCTGCCCAACATGGACATGAACAGCTGTCTCAGCCATATGCCTTGCTAACAGCAGGGCCTGGCCTCTGCCCTCATTTGGGGGGTTCTGCAGGACATAGCCTGCCCCTCCCCCAGACCTTGCCTTCCTGCTTCTCCATTCCCACGTGTAGAACCCCTGGAGTTTGCACTTACACACTTCCTGTCTTCCATTCCTCTCCCACACCCTCTGGCTCAACTCTAGTCCTCTTCTTCCAGGGAACCCTTGGTGATCTCCCCTCCTCTGATCTCAAAGCACTAAGAGCACAGCTGACTGCTGGACATGAAGGGGGCAGGTCAGCTGCTTTCTAGGCAGAGAGTGGGCATGCTCCTGGGCCCTGTACCCACATGCCTCTGTTCCTGGCATCTGCTTGCTAATACCCTTCCTACCTGGGAGTATATACCTTGAGTGGCCAGCCCACCTCATCCATATCCCCTAGACCCTGAGCTGGGTGGCCGGGTTCTCCCCACTGCCAGCCTGGCCCTCCAGACCCAAATTAGGTCAAGGTCATGGCACTGGGACAGCTGACCTCACCCTGAGCTCAACCTTACCTTGAAAGCCCTGTCTCTTCAGGCTCTCGTCCACAAGAGGGTCCCTGGAGTCCCTCTCTGGGGCAGGGGAGGGAGAGAAGCCATAGTGAGGAGGAAGCTCCTGGGACTCGAGGTGGCACTGGTAGGGGCAATCCCTATGTGGGGTGGGGAGAATGGTGGGAGAAGGACAGAACCAGAACCAGGAAGTAGGAGGAGGGGTGGTGGCAGAGACCTGGGGCCCTCCCATGCCTTGGCCCATGACCCTGTGCAGGGTACCTTGACTGTCCATGACGGGCTCTTTGACTCCCTCGGTGAGCAACTCAGGCCTGGAAAACACAAGTGGGGCCATCACCGAGGTCCTTCCATGAACCCTGGGGCTGCTCAGCCCTCCCCTTTGGGCCTCAGTCTACACATCTGTAAAATGGGCAAGCCCAGCTCTGTTAGTCCAGGCCTGGTCTCTGCCACTCCAAGGCACCTGTTCTGTCAGAGCACATGTGCCATATGGGAGGCCGTGCTCAACCTTGGAGGGTCCACTATAGGAGTGAGACTCACTCAGTCCTGGACGGGTTAGGCTAATACCTTCCATCTTGGTTCTGGGCCAACATGCATACAGCGACCACTGCCTAGGGATGGAGCACGTGGCCTCAGGGGCTTCTTATGGGGCTGACTATGTAGCAAGATCTCTAAGGTGCGGTAAGGTCTGAAAGCCATCCTGTCACTTTGGAGTCAGGAACCTCAGGGACCAGGCTCAGCTTTGCGCTAATGTCTTCTCCATAGGCTCCCAAAGCCTTTCCCTGACCCTGCTGACCCTCTTTATCACATGGCACTCATTCTATTTTAAGACAGAGTCTTGGGCAGCACCTGTGGTTCAAGGAGTAGGGTGCTGGCCCCATATACTGCAGGTGGTGGGTTCAAACCCGGCCCCAGCCAAAAAAAAAAAAAAAAAAAAAGAGTCTTACTTTGTTGCCCTGGAGTAGAATGTCATGGCATTAGCCTAGTTCACAGCAACCTCAAACTCCTGGGCTCAAGTGATGTTCTGGCCTCAGCCTTCCAAGTAGCTGGGACTATAGGCACCCATTGCAACACCTGGCTAATTTTTCTATTTTTAGTAGAGACAGGGTCTTGTTTTTGCTCAGGCTGTTCTCAAACTCTTGACCTCAAGGGATCCTTTAGCTCTGGCCTCTCAGAGTGCTAGGATACCAGGTGTGAGCCACTGTGCACGGCAGCATGGCACTGATTCTAAATGCCTTGTTTTCAGTGCAACCTTGTCCCACTAGGGCAGGCCTGTCGGCTATGGCAGGTTGGTCACAGTGGCACTAATGGGGGATGACAGGGTGGGACATTGACAGTCACTCCTTTTGCTCTCCCAAAGGATGTAACAGGGAAGATGTTGGGGACCCTCAGTGCCAGGGTTATGTATCTAGTGAGGCCACCCTGAGAGATGAGCTTGATCTCTGATGTGCTCTGATGTAGAGGAGTCAAGCAACAGCACAGAGGAGACCCTGCCTGGGAGTGAGGCCAAAGGCTAGACTCTTGGTCATCCCCGGGCCAGGTGGCCAGTGGATGAGGATTTGGTGCCTGCACTGACAGTGGCCATTTTCTGGGCACTGGCATGGTGCTGGGCACTGAGCTGGGCCAGCAGAGGCAGGGCTGAGGGGGAGAAAGGCAGCACAGCCTTTTCTTGCACCATAGTCCCAGGAGCTAGAAAGGCTCTGGATTGCACCCAGTCCCTTCTCCTTATGGGGAAACTGAGGTCCAAGAAGAGAAAGTGACATCCTGACAGTCACCCTCGAGAGTCAGATGCTGAGCAGGGTTCACAGCTCCCAGGCCAGGGTGGATACAGTGCTTTCCATTCAACAGCAGAGCCAGCCACCAAGGCGACAGGGATGACTGCAATCCCAGCAGACTGCCTCTCCAGGTGTTCACAGAGCCAGGCTCATCTGCCTCCCCTTCCAACATCAGGTGGGGAGTGCTCTCCTAGCTTTAAAAAATCCTCATGTGCACCAGCTGGCCCTGCAGGTGCACTGTGGAGAGGTCAGCTTACTGGGACTAGCAGTTGATGTTGCTCCTACCCTCAAGTGGCCCAGGTGCTTCTGGCTCTTGGCTAGAGAGGATGAATGTGGCAAACAACCCTGTGTTTGAGGGCCCTATGACTGCTGGTGGCTTCTACCTTCCATCCCAACCCCAATCCTTCCCGTGAGCACACCAGTCACCTGGCTGCCCTCTCTCCCTGGAAAAGCCCCAGAAACCATTCAGAGCCTAACACCCAATAATTTTGCCTTTCACCATGCCCAACCTTCCCTTTACTGGGTCCAAGCTGACCCCTGGGCCAGAATCATGGCCCCTCATCAGGCTGTGTCTTGCCTACACCCCCAGGTCATCCATCACCCCCTGTGCTGGAGTAATTAAAACCAACAGACACATTATTCATCCCTTCCTCATAATCTTCCAGTGAGTTCCAAGTTTAAAATAAAATGTAGACTCTTTAAGCTGGCCCAAGACCCCGTGTGATTCAGTTCCTGCTATCTCTTGGGCTCACCCCTCACTCACTTTACACCAGCCACCAGGGTGCCTCAAGACTCTCAAACTTACAAGCATGATCCTGCCCCAGGGCCTTTGCACCTGCTATCCCTGCTGCCTGAATGCTCTTTGTCTGTACAGCTGCCTTCCTTGCTTCTTTAGGTTTCTACTCCCACAGGACTTCCTTAGACAGGTTCGTCCTGTCCCTCTTTATCCCTTTACTCTGGGTTATAACCTGTTACAACATTTATCCTGACATTATGATATGACTTCATTCAGTGGGATCTGCAACTCAAGGGCAGAAATTGGTGATGTTTGTTGCTGGGCTGCAGCCTGGAACATGGTGGGTGCTTAGGACATATTTAATGAAGGAAAGGGCCCCATATCTGCTGTTATGTCTCTTGGGGCACCACCCTTGTGGTGTAAACCAGGCCCTCCAAGAGTGCTCTTGGACCCAGTGAGCCTGATGGCTCGCCCACCACTCTGGGCATGAATGATGCTGTGAGCCTCCCAGTGTATGGGGTCAACTAATCCCCCAGGGAACAAACGCTGTGAGTCTTCCATCTTGCCACTTTCAACCAAACTCGCCTAAACTTACAAGATACTGTAGTAACGTAGAAGCAAGAAACACAAAACAGATCTCCAATCTTTCTTTCTTTTTGAGCTACAGTCTCACTCACTCTGTCACCCTGACTAGAGTGCAATGGCATCATCAGAGTTCACTATGACCTCAAACTCCTGGGTTGAACAATCTTCCTGCCTCAGCCCCCTGAGTAGCTGGGACTACAGGCGTGCACCACAACACTCAGCTAATTTTTCTAATTTCTAGAGACAGCGGCTCACTCTTGCTCAGCTTGCTCTTGAATTCCTGGCCTCAAGAGACCCTCCTGCCAGGGCTTCCCAAAGTGGTAGGATTACAGGTATGAGCTGCCTTGCCTAGCCCCCTTTTCTATTCAATAGCTGCTTCTACCTCCTCCTTTTTCCAGATGGGCACACAGTTTGGACACCTCACTGACAAGAACAAGACACCCAAGGACACAGAAAGGGCCTAGAGAAGCCCCTGCTGGGCCTCCAGTCCTGGGACAATAGGGTACTGCCTTCAGCAATGCTCTGATGCCCCCAGCCCAGGGGACACACCTGCCCGGTGAACATATAAGCCAATGGGTAAATCACCACTCTGCATCTGGGAAAATTGGGCACTGCTCCCTTGAGAGTATGTCTCAAGGTCAGTTTGGCTGGGCCTGGGCAACCTCATACCTACCCAACTGAGGCCAAACCTCATCTCACACCCTGTTCAAAAATTAAAAAGAATAAAGAAAAAAAAGCATCTGCCAATATTAAGGGGAAGATAACCTGGTGCTGCCCCTAGGTGCTGGGCAAAGCTGGCAGTGTCCCAAGGGATCTGGCTGGGCCTTACCTCTTGATGACAAACTGGATGTTGTTGCTGGCCTCCAGGATCTTCCGGAGCTTGGCGATCCCAAAGCAGTTGGGCCTGCGGAGGGAGATGCCTTCAGGCAGCCCCACCACAAACAGCTCCTCTGGGTGCATCAGAAACTTGGAGTAGGGCACTTTGATGGGCTCCGAGACGCCAATGGCCTTGGCTGCAGAGACACAGCTGCTGTAGGGCCAGCCAGAGCCATGGGGCCATGAGCCTCAACCCCCGTCTCCCTCATTTGAGCAGGGGCTGTCGCTGCCAGAGCCTTTTTGAGAGCTGGTATTTGGTTGAACCCTGCCAACCTTTCTGAGAAGTGAGATGCTACCCTAAGCCTGTGGGGAAGGAACCTGGAGCTCGGAGGGGATGTGACTTGTCTGAGGTCACAGAGCTGGGAGACAAGAACCCAAAGCAGTAGGACCCCAAAACCCATACCCGGACCACACCCTTCACCTGGGCTGTGTAGAAGCTGAGATTCAATGCTGGCTCCACCCAAGTCTGATTGTCCTCATCCTTCTGGGAAGGCTCTCCAGAACATCCCTCCTGTCACCATAAACAACCCCAAACCCTGGTGTGGCCCAACACCACACCTTGAGAATAAGCCAGAACAGAGGTTCAGTCTAAGCTCTGCCGCTCAATTTTGTAGCACCTTGGACAAGCTCCAACCCTTTACCAGGCCTCATTTTTCCTCATCTGTAAGATGGGTCTTAGCACTAGGAGCTTTTGTAAGGATAGAATGAGAGAGCATGGGTGAAGTGTCCAGCTTCATGCCTGGCAAACCACAGGGGCTTTTTCTTCCCTCTCTTTTGTCCTCTTTCCTGGACTCTAGGGTAGCAAAGTCCTTACACTAGTCCTCCTGGGGACCCTGGGTGAAGGTGTCTGTCAGTGAGGACAGAGGGCAGCCTCTCCACACTGAGTGAGTCTGAATGTGAGTGTACCAACCAGGAGACCAGGACACAGCATCTCAGAAGGGTGAAATTCTCAGGCATAGCTTTTCTCTGTGGGACTCTGAAGTGGGGGCATGCTGGGCAGCAGCCCTTCCCTCCTGCCCACCATGTTCCAGGAAGCAGCTGAGATGGGGGCTGTGAGCCCAAAGTCCTTCTGGAAATAGGGCAGCTACCAGGAGGGCTGGGATGCCCCCAGGCCCTGTTCTACTCCTTGCTCACCGTATCTCGTGTTGAAGAGCAGCTCCACCTGCTTCCGAAGGGGCCGGATCACATCACCATGGCTGTCTAGAAAACAAAAGGCGGCTTGTTGGTCCTCTCAGGTGACAGCTTTTCACCTCATGTCTTAGCTTTGCTGCCACCAAGAATAACCCCCATGGTGGGACCCTGGAAGGGGGAAGACTAGGGGTGGGGGGTATCCTATTTCCTCAGAAATAGCAGCCCTGGACAGGTTCACAATACCTGTTTGTGAAATCAGGTCTAAGGCTTCACCAGCCTGGATGGAGATTTGGAAGGCTTTATGGTCTAAGAATGATGGTCTTTCTGGCTAAGTGTTACTCTCTAGACCAGCTCAGTCAGTATGACTTAACTAGCAGGTAGATACTAAGCCTGCAAATCGAGTATGCTGCCACCAGGTGGCAGTGGACTTCTGTAAAGACTTCACTGCTCTTCAAGCCTGGCTGAGTTTGGGAAGTGGCAATTCTCTCCTCTGATACCCACTCATTCCATTCCAGGGGTAGATATTCCAGGGATGGAACAGACCCACTTTCACTTTGGTGTCCCTTACTGTTCTATTTCTGTTTTACTCTTAGAAGGGAGGGAATAAGCAGTGTTTTCTTTTTTTGAGATAGTCTCACTTTGTCACTCTCTATAGAGTGCTATGAAATCATAGCTCATAACAACCTCTAACTCTTGGGCTCAAATGTTTTCTCTGGCCTCAGCCTCCCAAGTAGCTGGGATTATAAGTGCCTGCCATGATACCCAGCTATTTTTAGAGATGGGGTCTCAGTCTTGCTCAGGCTGGTCTTGAACCAATAAGCTCAGGTAATCCACCTGCCTTGGCCTCCCAGAGTGCTGGGATTATAGGCGTGGGCCACCATGCTCAGCCCTGAGCAGTGTTTCTAAGAACGAGTATGTCTGTAGGACATAAAGCCAATTATCTGCTTTCAGGCTTCAATTCTTACTTGCTCCAAAAGACTAGGCTCAGATCTCAGTCTTCAAATCTTTATAGAAGGCAGTAGGGTATGTATAAAAACAAAACTGCAAACAAAGTCTTGTAAGGTCCCTTGCTAGAGGGAGGATGCCACATCTCTTAAGGAGGTACCTCCCAGTGCTAAAAGACAGGTCTATAAATCTTCTCCCACCCCAGGCACCCCACAGGACTCCCACCTACAAACCAGGGTGTTGGAGAGAGATGGGGTGGAGAGAAGGAACAGACACACAAGGGAAGCAAGGCAGGGATGGGGTGGGGGTGAAATGTGGGAGGTTGACAAGGCCTCACCCTCCACAGGCCTCTCTTCTGGCCTCGAGTTCTCGCTGGGGCTTTTGTCTACAAGAGAACAGAGGATGCTGGGAAGCCACATTCATTAGGTTCTGGGCCCTGCATTCCCAGAGTTAACCAGACTGGTTTAGGGTGGGGGGGGGAGCGGACAGCAGGCTGGCAGTCTTCAATTCTGGAGCACATCATGGCTTCCCCCAGATGGGATTAGGGACCTCAATTTCATCGAGGTACCTGCTCAGGCCTCTGCACGCAGAATAGGCTGGGATGATTTGGATATGCACCCCCAAGGGGCCAATCTCAGGCCAGGCTGTGGTAGGCATTGAAGACACGTGGTAACAAGGCACAGTTCTGTCCAGTGTGATGGCAGTTATAACACATGATATCAGATAGTGATGATGCCATGAGACAGAGGACACAGGGAGAGGCAGGTGGGCACAGCCTCTCTGTCAATGGCATTGTCTTTGGCCTAGACCCAAAATTGTTCCCCGACAGTGAGGGATGGCACAGTGAACACCTGCAGAGGCAGGTGCCAGGGCTGTACAGGGGTGAGATGGGGTCCCCTGCTGGCCTTGGGAGACTGAGGAAGGAATACTGGGTTGTATGCCAGCATCTAGGGAAAGGGGGGGGGGTAAACTCAGGGAAGGTGAATTTGGATTGGAGGATGAAGCACAAGTCATAGAGAATGGTAGGGCCAGTGAAGAATGGCCCAACTGTGGTGGGCTGAGGGGTGTTGTTCCGGGGCTGGAAGAAGGCATCAAGGGGTTTTCAACATCTGCAACAGTAGGCTAGGAGTGGTGACCCTGGAAGCTCCCTGTCGTGTTTACAGTTGCTAACATACACACAGGACTGACCCTTAAATGGCCCCGTTTTAGCCCACAGCCTGCGGCTGGGCAGCTCAGTGGTAGAACAGGCTGGACCCAGACCTGCCTGGCTGCCAGCTCATGCAGAGCACCTGGAACAACTGACACAGGGTACTGGGTTCAGTCCCAGATGGGAGCCTGCATCAGAGGAAGGGGTTGATCCTGGGACACCTGTCTGTGGGCCAGGCCTGTTCAGGATGGGTTGAGGGAAACTGAGTCCATGCCTGGGAGGTAAGACAGTTAGTTCCCTGAGGCTCAGCTCAGAATGAGCTGGAAGGTGCTAGAGGGCTTCATATATGCTCAACACCAGCACAAAGAAGTAGAGGGCCAGCCCTGAGTGTCAGGCCTCAACCTTCCTGGGAAAATGGGCACGTCTTAGGCAGTGGCTGCCGTGCTCACATGAACCTGCCTGAAGGATTTACTCTGGCCATAAGCACTGCAGAGTCGGCACCCTGGAAATGGATTTTAACCAGTAACAGTGGATTGGCAAACCCAAGCCCAGCTCCCTCCTTGCCTCTGATGATCCGCACAGGCTGATGGCTCCCCGGCTGGCTCAGCTGCCCATGGTGGTGACCAGCGTGATGACACCCCTCATGGTCCCAGGACCAATTCCCACCCCTGCTGGCGCTCTCTGGGATCTCCCAAATAAATGGATGTACCCAAAGCCTTGTCTGAAGCTCAGGTTCTCAGGGATCCTAAACAAATGAGCTGTATTTAGGCCATTTCTAGACAGAAGCAGAGAGGAAAAGTTGAGTATGGGGGGCATGAAAGGCACCAGCAGGATGGTAGGGAGGGGTTGCCGAGGTCAGGACACTTGTTGAGCAGTCACAGGTAGCTGTGTGTCTCGTGGTGAAGGAAGCTGCCCACACATTCCGCCAGGTAGCCTGTGCAAGACAGCACAGGGGACACCTGGCCAGGAGTCTACCCCTATTCTGAGCACAGGCACCTCCTCAGGCAGCAGTGACCACCTAGGGAGAGCCAGGCAGGGGATAATCAGACCCAGCTACCTGTAGGGACCCCTTAGGGGTCTGTGCATCTAAGAAGGGGCTTCTGGCCAGCCATGTTGTCAGGCCCTTGAAACAAGCTGGCTAATTCCACTCCTGGGGGTCTTTTCAAAGGTAGCAGGAGGCGACTTGTATACTGTGGGGGCTCAAATTCTAAATGTGGGGACCTTATCTGGCTCCCCACCCAGGCCTACAGGACTAGACCCTCTACCCTGAGCAAGCCTGTCCGCATGCTCCTTGTTCCACTGGTTTCAACAGTGAGGAATTAGCTGGGAATAACCTCAATAAATGACCAGCCACATGCTTACACAATGACTGCCAGGCTACCCTGTGAAAACACAGGGGACAGTTTGTACAAAACAGTAAAATGAGTTAGCACGTGTATAGGAAAAACACACGTTCCGGAGAAGACATACTAGTGCTTGTCCAAAGAGGGCACAACGGGAGTGTTTCCGTGTGTGTCACACAGCTCTGTGTCATTCAACTGTTTTACAGTTTATGTGTGAAAACAGGGAAAGCGTGCACACACAACCCTCTCATCCATGCTGGTCCTGAAAATCTCAAAATTTTCATAATCCATCAGTTTTGAGTGGGAGGCTATGAAAAGAACTCAGCAAGGAGAATCAGTAAACCTGAGTTCTAGCCCAAGGCTGAGCCTGTTTTCTGCTTTGTCAAACCAAGGAGAGGGGCATTCCCAAGAGAGAAGGCACTCTGCTCATCCACGGGCCCCAAGGCCCCACACCGTCACACAGTCTCCAGCTATGAGTGCTGGGCTGGAGATCTCCATGGTGCTCTCTGACACTGCTATGAACACAGCCAGGTGCCTTGTAATCAATCTCTCAGCCACCATGCCACGCCGCCAGCTCATCCTGAGCCTGTGGCCAGCCAAATGCTCTAGACAGTTGACCACAACCTGCTATCGAGTCTGGTCATGCCCAGCTTGTGCCTGGACAAATTTTATATATATATATATATATAAAATAATTTTTTTTTTACCAAAGTATTAAAAGTGCAATCATTACTGATTTAGGAAACGAAAAAGACAGATCATTTCACCCAACATAGCTACTGTTTTGGGTACCCTTGTTCCCCACTCCCCAATGATTATACTTGCTACATAGTGGTAAGGAGAGTACGATCAATTTTTCATCTTTTGCTTAATGCAACCTCATAAGCCTCCATGTATCCGTGTAACGTTCCGTGCATCTCTCCGTTCCTCCATGCCTGTTTTTAATGGCTGTGTAATAGCCCACCAGGAGGATACTATTAATGGTCTTCTGACAGTTGGACAGGCTCTTTCCAATTTGTCACTGTCATCATTAACATTAACACAAACACCTCTGTGCAGAAACCACTGTCCATATGTCAGACAATTTCCTAGGACCGGATTCCTGGAGCCACCAAGGGGTGCTCATTTTTATGGCTCTTCAAGCTGACAATGTGCCTTAAAATGTAATTTGCTGATGTTCCTTCTTACCAGCACTGCTCAAGTGCCTATTTCTCAATATGCTTAACAAAAGTTCTGTCCAGTTGAAAGGTGCAAAAGAGATGGCCTCTGTCCAACCCTCTCTTCTCCATAGCTGCATATGTGTTTATTTATCTCCCTTTTTTCCCTGGCTACTTAGCCATTCGCATGGTGGCACATGCTGGGATGTATTACCCAGATGCCTGTTCAAAGAACTTGTTGCCCAACATCGGGAGTATAGTCAAGAGACAGCCCTCTGAAGTTACTCCTTCAAGGATGCCCCTGTCGCAGAGAGCTGCCCTGGCCAGTCACACCCTTCCAGAAAGGCTGCATCCATGAGTACCTGAAGATTAGGAAATCCCATTACATCTTGGAACAGAGCTCAGGGGCTGACATCCTGGCTCCAGATCCCCTACAGAGTTGGTGGAGGCTGTCGATGGGGCTAAACATATTTATCACTGTGTGAGCCAGTCTCAGGCATGGTCTGTTTATGACCGGCGTCTGCCGTCTGGGCTCCACTGTTGCTTTGTCTTCCTTCTGCCCTGACTTCTCAAGTACCACGGCTGCTGCCTGAGACTCAACCCATGAAGCCGGAGAGCTGAACTCACCCACAGCATGAGCCCAGCTTGTGTCTCCTAGCTTGTGCCTTCCCCTCCAGACCTTTTGTATCTCCTAACTGAACTTGAGACTCCCATGTCTTCCTTATTCCTGTCTCTAGAACATTCTCCCTGATAGAGAAGATGAAGGCAAATGAGGCACAGAGATGCTCTGCCTCGATTCTGTCACAATTAACAGGGCACCACTGGCCTGGGCTTACAGGAGATCTTAAGCATTTTTCCAGTCTTTTGTTCATTTTTGGTAGAGGAGAAATTTTTAAAATGCAGAAAAGCATACCAAATATTATGACAAATACCCATGTACTCACCACCCAGAATGAAGATGGGCTGGCATTCTGTCATATTTGTACCTTTTTTTTTTTTTTTTTTTGCATAAAACATTATAAAGTCAGATTTTTCTCTGTTGGGTTTCTGTTTTCTTCCGTTTCCTCCTTCCCCAGGAGAAAGCACTACATGTGTTTTATCTGTATATTCTACAAGTCCACTTCTCTAGCACCACACAATACTGTTTGCATGTTTTTAGATTCAGCTAAGTGCTATACTGTCTATAGCCTTCTCCACTTGCTTCACTTCACCAAATACTGTGTCTTGCAGAACTCTTTGTACTTGTTGTTCATTTAAATGCTGCCTACTTCCTTCCACATGGTACCCTCATGCCCTCCCCACCCTACAAATCCACACAGGACCTTGTGCACAAGGGAAATAAATACCAGCACTCATCTGAACGTTTCCTGGCCTGGCTACATTCTCCTGTGACACAGCTTTCCAAACCTGGGTTCATCTGAGTTCTAATATCATCTTCTGTTGTAGTCATGAACCTTCTGTACTCTCATTTACATACCACTTTTCTTTTCTTTTTTTTGGCTGGGGCTGGGTTTGAACCCACCACCTCCAACATATGAGGCTGGCACCCTACTCCATTGTGCTACTCACCACTTTTCTTTAAAATGATTCACATTTTATTTTTATTTGTTTGTTTATTTATTTATTTATTTTGAGACAGAGTCTCACTGTTGCCCTGGGTAGAGTGCTGTGGTGTCACAGCTCACAGCAACCTCAGTCCTCTTGCCTCAGCCTCCCAGGACTACAGGCCACATCACCTGGCTAGTTTCTTTTTAGTAGAGACGGGGTCTCACTCTTGCTCAGTCTGGTCTCGAACGCCTGAGCTCAAGCGATCTACCCACCTCAGTTTCCTAGAGTGCTAGGATTACAGGTGTGAGCCACCGTGCATCGTGCCCGACATGTTTTAGTTTTTATAAACTTTAAATACCTATAACTCTTTTTATTATCTATATATAATAGATAATAGCAACACCTGTTGATAATAGTTGGAGCTGGGAATTGCGTACAGAGCTGGGAGTTGGGTACATGAAATGCATTAAAACTAGTCTTCAATTTTGTGTGTATTTCAACATTTCCAAAGTAAAAAACCCCACGAATAGAACACCCTCCCCACTGCTACCCACCTGCTCAAATATTCATCTTGCCTAGACTATTGCAAGAGTCTGTTTCTCAATCTCTGTCCTCATCCCTCTGCAGTCTACTTGCAACCCTATACCTAGAGGAAACCCTGCTAAAATGACCCATGGTAGCGCCAGTGGGTCCCCATCTTCTCAGTCATGTACCCAGTCCTTTCTTTGATACCTTTTCCCCGAAAGACTCATATCCTGCCACTTCTCTAACCTCACCTGCCTCCTAAGCTCAGCTCTGCCACTTAAGTCTCCTTGCTTCTCCTTTGACATGTGGGGCATGGGTGACCTCAGGGCCTTTGCACTCGCTGCTCCCTCTGGAAACCTCTTTCCTGATACCCGTATTGCCCTCCTTCAAGTCTTTGCTCCACTGTCACTTTCTCAGTGAGGTCTTCTGCCACCCTCATCCTAAACACCCACCCCATGCCCCCAACACTTCTCTTCTTGGCTTTGTGCTCACAACAGCACTTGTCACCATCTAACTTTCTACCTTATTTATTTGCTTACTGTCTGTCTGTCTCTCCACATGGGGATCTCAGCCCCACAAGGGCAGGGACTTCTGTTTGGTTCATGGCTTTGTCCCCAGCACGTTACATAGAACCTGATACACAATAGGTACTCAATAAATAGTTGTTGAATATATTAACAAATTAATCCAAATAGCAGCTCTTGGTGAAGCTGTAGTAACAGTTATTAATAGAGTCTTCAAGTTTTCTGGAAGGAACCCAGCCTGGGCAAAGAAGTCTGGCACATATTAGGTTTCCTCTATAACAGGTGGTATCGAGAAAAGCTTGGGGGCTTCCTGGCCCACCTCTACCTGATGCTCCCCAGGGAGGTGGGTTCCCAGCACCACCAGTCCTGGGCCATTTCTTACCAGTTAGCATTTCCATCCCATAACCAGAATCCTCCGACGGTAGGTACCCAGGCATCCAGTCTGTCATTTCCTCAGAGGTTGGTGAAGGGTCTGGAGACAAAACTCCAAATGACAAGGACATCTTCTGCCTGTCCTACCCCCACCACAGTCCCTCAAGGGCCTCCCCCACCCTAATAGACCAGAATCCTTTAGGAAGCCACACTCTGGTATGTTAGGAGGGTGGACGTGGAGCCCTGTGGGCTCCCAGAAGTTACCCCGTCCTGAACTTCCACAAGTCAAACACATCCCCCATAGGTATGGAAAACCTGGCAAGGGGCTGGGGGTTTGAGTCTGGGGTCAAACTTATGGCCTCCCCCCTCCATGCCTTTATCTTTCCTCTCAAGCTTTGTAAAGCCCACAGAAGACAGGACAGAGAGGTTAAGGTTGGGGGAAGCTTCCAGAAAGTGAGAGCTGAGAGTACTTCCTAACCCAGAGGGAAGGCACAGGTGGACACCCAATAGCCTCATCCTCTCAGAATCACCTAGAGAAACAATGCCTGGGAGACCCCTTCTTGGAGGGTCCTGGTTGAGGGCCCTTAGGAGACTAATGGGATGTCCTGGTTCCAGCAGGCCCAGGAACTCTGCTTCACAAGTTGCTTGATTCCCATAGGTGACAGCCCTTCAGGCTCCTGCTTCTTACCTGGGACAGTGACCTGAATGATATCTAGATCCTCTGGCTCAATTTTGATCGGCCTCAGCCCGCTTAGCTCCCCAGAGGTTCCTGTGAGCAAAGGAGGGATCCAAGTCAGGTCTGGTATGAGCTTGGCTGAGCCCAACAGAACGAACATGTTTGTGTCTGTAACTTGTTAGTGAGCCCCTAGAAAAGTCATGTCAGCCCCTTGGCTCCTGCCCAGACCAGGAATAGAAGTCAGGTGGGTTCTCAGGCCAGGCCTGGCACCTCCAGACCTAGAGATAGACCACAAAGGGGAGGCAGTGTTGACACCAGGATCTGGGTTGTCATCCCCCTATCCCTCCTTGCCCCACCCCCCAGCTCCCAGCATGCCTTGCACCTTAGTGGTGTGAGGCCTGGGGGATAGGAGTGGGCAGAGCAGACTCATTAGCACCCTAGGCTCCTCCCCAAGGCTGCTGAGTGGGGCTGGTGGCCACCCTCCCAGCCCTGTGACACACACAGTGGTTCCTGCTCCTCCTTACCTGGCCCACATTCTTCAGCGATGCTGCTGCCCTTGTCTGACCTGTGAAGGGAAGCCATGAAACAACATGGCATCAGCCTTGTCAAGGGCTGCCCTGCCTCAGCTCTGCCCCTCCAGGCAGTGAGGGGCCCACAGCAGGTGCTAAAGCAGACACACCCTGAAACATCACTCTGTTCCCCTGGTGTCCATAGGATGGTGTCCCTCAACCCTACCAGCAAGATTTCTAGTGTCTTAACTTCAGGGACTACAGTCCCTGGTGCTGCTTGAACCAAGGGTCTGTTCCCAGCCCTGGGGTGAAGTGTCTGGGCGTCCCCTTGCCCGACCAGCTGGCAGCTCCGAGGCCCTGTGCTTAGTGTAGTAGGTTTGGTCAGTGCTTGTTGCAGGGGTAAAGAGTTGAGGGGATACCAGCCAGGAAGGGGTGAGGCAGTCTGGAGAGGGACTAGGGAAAGAAGGTGGGCAGGATCGCTGGACAGAGGAATCAGTTCTGTCTTTACCATAGCACTGCAGGGGGAGAACTGGTTGGTTCTTGGGAATTCTAGGATAAATGTCCCATCCCTGGCCCCTAGGAGCTCAGAGCCTGGGCAGGGCAAATTGCTGGCCAATGAGCAGGCTGTGTGCTAGGTGTAGGGCCTAGTGGGCACCCAGGGCAGTGTGGGCATTTAGAGGCTTCTGAGAGAGGGGACATTGGCTAGGTCCTGACAAATGAGGGCTGTCTGGGTGGAAGGAGTAGGTTGTGCTGTTTTGTTTTCCTTTGCCCTCTGAATCTCCCTGGCCTGCAGAGGGTATACACGGGTGTCCGTGTGTGATGCCCCATGTACCCAAGAGGGCGTCAGTGGGAGCTGCCCTAGGCCCTGTAGTGGGTTTATACAGGTGTCTGTGTGTGTTGCCCCACGTAGCCAAGAGGGTGTCGGTGGGAGCTGCCCTAGGCCCTGCAGTGGGTATATAAGGGTGTCCGTGTGTGTTGCCCCACGTACCCAAGAGGACGGAGTGGGAGCTGCCCTAGGCCCCTTTCCTCCCCCTAGTAACAGAGGTCCAGCCAGGAGACAGGGTGACTGTGGGTGGGGAGCTGGCTTGGGCCTTACCGAGCATTTCCAGCCAGGTCGAGAATGGTGGCCCGAGAGACCTCCACAGAGGTATCCTCTGGCGGGCTGGCTGGCTCCAGCTTCATGGGGTCTTTGGTAAACTTGTTCCCTGTGTGGAAAGTCAGGGAGGTCAGGACAAAGGCCCTCTGACCTCCTCTTGCCTTCAGGGCACCTGGGAAAGGGCCTCCACGTCAATCTCTCGAGGGCATCGTGGGGGTGGGGTCTGGCTCTGCCTCTCCCTGTAGGCTCCGTGTCCAGGCAACAGCCAAGAGTGGATCCTGGGGAGACGCCTTCCTGGGAAGAAGGAATAGTGGCCCTAGTGGCAGTAGAGGCCAGAGATCTGGGAG